GCCGTTATGTTGGATGGTAAGATTGTACAGAAAGTAGTGCCGTTATGTTGGATGGTAAGATTGTACAGAAAGTAGTGCCGTTAAGTTGGATGGTAAGATTGTACAGAAGTTAGTGCCGTTAAGTTGGATGGTAAGATTGTACAGAAAGTAGTGCCGTTATGTTGGATGGTAAGATTGTACAGAAAGTAGTGCCGTTAAGTTGGATGGTAAGATTGTACAGAAAGTAGTGCCGTTAAGTTGGATGGTAAGATTGTACAGAAAGTAGTGCCGTTATGTTGGATGGTAAGATTGTACAGAAAGTAGTGCCGGTAAGATTGTACAGAAAGTAGTGCCGTTAAGTTGGATGGTAAGATTGTACAGAAAGTAGTGCCGTTAAGTTGGATGGTAAGATTGTACAGAAAGTAGTGCCGTTATGTTGGATGGTAAGATTGTACAGAAAGTAGTGCCGTTAAGTTGGATGTTAGTCAAGGTGAGAATGGAGATCCAATTGTTAACCTTTTACTCATATTTTATGGCACTGGTTTCTTTTAGTAGTTATTAAAATATTTAAGATCATAATATAGCATTGCTTACATTATCACAAATCATTGAATAGTATTGGCACGCAGTATATTGCCAGATTTTCTTTGCCAAAACACAAGGCTAGTTTCGCGGTCAATATCCATCTAAAACAAGCTTTGCCCTAAACACATAATACCTTACAAATACCCTGCACATTTTTTAAACATTTATGCCATAAAATCTAAACGTATACACCACAGTGCATCCTTATGATGGAGCTAAAGGTTGTGTTTTGCCTGGCCTCTGCTGCTGTTTAGCTGTCAGATGCCCTTTTCCAAGGAAGGAGTATTTCTCCGCTCATCGTTTGGCGACCGTACGCTGTGTGTCACAACCGATTCTGTCTAGCTGCGCTCTCTAAGCATTCACTATGGCTCCTGCCAGTGAAGGAGGGAGGGAGATAAATAAACGGGGAGGAGGCCGGGGGCAATGAGTTCAGTGCATGGAGAGGAGGAGGAGGGGGAGATTCAGTCACTTTATACAGCAGAAAAGCTCCATGCTGACATGCTATTGTTGTCATAGCTGCACAATGAGTGGGTTTAATGTGAGACACCGTGTTTGGTTTAATGTCCTCTCCGTAGACTGGTTTAATTTCAGGAGTTTATTGCTATCGCGACAGCAGAGTTTCAGCTCTTATCTTGCACGTGCTTTCAAATCAGAGAGCAGATAAACTGCAGACGCTGCGTCATCCATTTCAAACAACCACCATGAAGTCAGTCTAGGGGCTCAAATATCAACCTTTTTGTCACTGGTTCACTCAAACACACATTTGTACACCTTTTCCAACAAGCTGTTAGAGGTAGACGGATTTTCTGGTTACTTTATTTTGCAAACAACATCACGTTAATTCTTGTAATTGACCAAACCATTAGCTCTTGTTTCAGTTAATGGTCTCCTTGTATGCAGATGACGTTACTATTTATTTAAAAAAATAATCGCCTGTATCTTTTAAACACATTACAGTGGGTTGTCGTCTATTTCTAAGACATGTAGCTGATATTTCCCATCATGCATACAAGTATTTAACATCCATCTCTTCAGTCTTAAGGCCGCTACACACCCACCTGAGACCAAAGAACGCGTACCGAAGGCGTCCCGACTTTTACGTCAGCTACGTCGCCTGCGTCGGCTACGCCGCCCGCTACGCCGCCCGCTATGCCGCCCGCTATGCCGCCCGCCTACGAACACACCGCAAATACTTCAGTCGACGAGTGGCAATAACTGTCCTTACCAGCAGGCAGCGGTAGTGTGAATAGCCAATCAGAGTGATTGGGCCGATTGGGCCGACTTTCTCTGACCTGAAAAGGTGCCGTAAAGAGACAACGGTGCGGGACACACCAACCTGAGTAGGGCGCCGCGAATGCCCGACTGCCTCTGACGGCCTCTGACTCCCAAAATCGGGTTGGTGTGTAGCCAGCTTTAGAGTTTAAATAACTGACAGCTGGTCGTTGGGGAACAGGAAGTTGAATATTCGAGTTAAAGCTTCTCATCACTGTTAGAAGCTTATCATCTGAAAAGCCCTGAATCAAGACTTTCAGGGATTTGCCGTCTGTGCAGCTAACATTAGCTCAAGCTGAGAAAGTGCTGAGTCAGCCATTACATCTACTTTAAAGTGTTCTTGTTTTCCAGGTTTGAAAGTTTATCATCTCCTTTTTGTCCGTGGATGAATTTAAAACTGAGACAGAACAAAGTGCAACGAAGCTCAAACCTTCATTTCTTTTGTCAGTGTCTAAAGAAGTTGAGTCTTTCCGCTATATGGTTTTTTGTGATCACATTTTTATTGAGATTAAGACACAACATGTTCAACCAAAAGCACACCATTTGTTTCTTTAGAAAAAAAAAATGTGGACAACAGCAATTACTTACAAAATATACAGAATACATATGTAAGCTAAAAATAATTAATTCCGCTATATGTTTTATTTATCCAGTTGCATGTCCACGTTGACTTGGTGAACAATATGCCACAAGGAGCCCATTCAAAGCAGCTCTACTTCTTTACCTCGGGGCTCCCACATTTGCATATTGAAATTCAACTGCAACACAAGCCAAATTAAAATAACGACAACTCTTTTTAAAGCCAGGTGTGAATGCAAAGGCCTTTGTTCAGATGTCATTATCCAAATAAGTCTTCCTGATACAGATCTCATGTTGACGCCAGGTGAGAATCAGGAAAAAGTCTCACAAGAGGAAATGATTCCAATTCTTAATTAACAGTATGTAGTACTAATCTATAAATATGAGGGGTATAACAACTAATCGACTTAATCGATGACCAAATTAGTTGCCAACTAATTCAGTCGTCAATTCGTTGGGTCTATGTTGTTACTCTCTGTTTGCGGAGCTGGCTACGTCGAAAAAAACATTCGAAAAATGGCGGAGGCGTAGAGAAGCACAGTCCGACTAAAATCTTCAACAGCGTGGGAGCACTTCACTTTAAACAACCGTAAAAAGTGTGTTACCTGCTGGCCCGCCCCTCCCTACACGCAGATCAAGCAGACCGCGCGGGGCCTCATCTTGCGGAGGGGGCCTCATCTGATGCGCTAATGTTTCGCCGCTGCGAGGCTCCGACGCCATGGATGTATAACAAGAACTGGATACAGCGTGGGAGGCGGGGTCTCGTTCTTTCCTATGAGGTCATTGGCGCATGAGGACAAAATGGCCCAACTTTTGAGAGAGCGAAACGTCACAGATTACCCATCATGCCTCGCTGTCAGAGCAGAAGTACCCGTATGTGCGCTCATAGAGCATGCGCAGTTGAGTTGCCCCTTAAGCCCCGCCCCCCGAGCTCCCACTCTCAGATGCGCGTTCATAATGCCGAGGAAAATAACTGTCAGAATAACGTTATTAGCACATTTTACAACTTGAGGACCTAATGTTTTTAATAAGGGTTATACAAATGTTCATACTGGGTAGATTATTTGGTTATAAAAAAAAGTATCTGCTGATTTACAGACGTCTCTTTCCCAATGTTAGTCAATGGGAAAAAGTCTTTCTGGGCCCAGGGACGTCACGGACAGATACGGAAGTTGCAGTACCGCCGTTTGGACACAACGAATATTTTCCTCAGAGTCCGGCGCACTTCCTGGGGGCTTGTCCGGCGCTCGCAGTTCACGCGCGCGCGCCACTAGCACCCATCAATGTATTGATTCAGCTATTTCAAAGTGTTTGCAAATTTGCAGAAAATAGGTCAGGTTGAGACGCTGTGTGCTGTATTTATGTGTGTGGAAGAAAGTGCAACTGCAGAGACTATCTACCTATTTGTTGTAGCAAAGCCTGTTAACACTTTTTGTTTGTGATTCACAATTTTATTTGTTATAATTTGTTATAATGTATTATTCTTTATAACGGCTCAGGTCCATTAAAGTTAGGTTAGTTATCATTGTTGATAATTTGAAAGAACATTGTTTTTGTTCGAGCAACCTAAAGAGACATATTTTTTGTTCAAAACAATCTGTTATATAGCTTTTGCATATGTTTTATATCCTACATTTGGGTTGTTTTTGTGTGTTGATGTTTGGAAATGCAGTTTTCTGAATAAAATAATGAGGAAAAAAAATTGGGGTGCGTTTTTTTTATCGGATCAAATTAGTCGTTTGTTGCAGCCCTAATAAATATTGTATTTTAAAGTGGAGGGCTGTGCAGACATGTGTGCAAAGATGTGCAAAAAGTAGTCAGAGAGTTGAGCATGAACATGTTTTCTAGTCAACATCTGGCTAGAAAACTTCTCAAAGCTCCTCTGGGGATTGACTCCAAAGGAGATTTCACTCCGCTTTAATGCTTTTTGGTTGCACTTACTTATATTCTTTTAATATCTGACACCAAGTCACAGTCATAGCCTAAATATCAATATGCAAAATGTGAATGTTACCTGTCCTCAAGAGCTTGTGATAGTATTTCTTAATGCAGAACATATCCAGAAGCTCGAGTGTTACAATCAGGTTTTATGATACCGTTTGGACTTCCAAAAACACTGCATTAGTATCTTTTTATAAAGGTCCCTATACGTTCTGGCATTAGGTATTCTTCCCGGGGACATACACATGCAGCCAAACACATATATATGCATTTTGTATTACTAGCTAACAGGACAGCAGACGAGCTTAGACTGCACAAAAAGTAGTGCCATTATGTTGGATTATAGTCAATGTGATGAATGCAAAGCTCTAGTCCTGCTTAGATATCTTAATATCTGACACCTTGTCGCAGTCATAGCCTAAATGTCAATATCAAAATGTTGAGTCATATAGTGAGTTTGTCTGGTGGATGTGAAACCACCCCTGAGTAAAAGTCATTTTATCTGTGGTAGAAGAATGAGTCAAGGAGGTGATGTACCTGCAACACGAGGGATTAGTTTCAGTATCGCAGTTACTGTTGACTTCAATATTATATATTTGTGTTCTCTTTTGACTAAACGCTCTCTGTTTCTGTGTATTTTCCAGGTCAATCAAGGCGTTCCAGGAGGTTCTTTACATCGACCCCAGCTTCTCCAGATCTAAAGAGATCCACCTGAGACTGGGACTCATGTTTAAAGTCAATACAAACTACGAGTCCAGCTTAAAGGTAAGAGTGAAGGGTTTTATTTATTCTTTTGTAATATAGGCTTTATTGACATTTGGCAGCGAACAATTACAGTGTTTTACATATTATACATATATAATAAATATTTGTCAAGAGTAAAGGGTTTTAAATGATATGAATGAAATGGGAGTCGTGGTGTTTGTTTTTGGTTCAGGTCACAGTGGCCCTGATAGGATTGTGTGTGTGTGTGTGTGTGTGTTGTGTGTGTGTGTGTGTGTGTGTGTGTGTGTGTGTGTGTGTGTGTGTGTGTGTGTGTGTGTGTGTGTGTGTGTGTGTGTGTGTGTGTGGTGTGTGTGTGTGTGTGTGTGTGTGTGTGTGTGTGTGTGTGTGTGTGATGTGTGTGTGTGTGTGTGTGTGTGTGTGTGTGTGTGTGTGTGTGTGTGTGTGTGTGTGTGTGTGTGTGTGTGTGTGTGTGTGTGTGTGTGTGTGTGTGTGTGTGTGTGTGTGTGTGTGTGTGTGTGTGAGAGATTTCCTTTTATTATTTACTTATTGATCCGCTAACAGAGAGCTGTGGCTTTTGGAGGTAGAGTCGTCGTCCACCAATCAGTGTGTGTGTTTTTCCTCCTGAGCAGCTATTTTGGAGGCTTCCTCATGAATGAACGGGTGTGTGAATGCTGTTGTAAAAGCTTTGAGTCGTCTCAAAGACTAAGAAAAGCTCTTTATAAACACAGCTAATTTACCAAAACCATGCTTTTGTGAATAACGAGGAAAACCATTACAACTTTAAAGTGTGCACCCTGACCACAAACCCCTTTATTTTCAATGCTTAATTTGCATGTTGTGATGCCGTGAACAAGCACTTGTACCCAGCATATATCTTCCATTATTCTCTTAATACTAGGGCTGCAACAAACGACTCATTTGATAATCAATTAATGAAACGATTATTCGGATCGGTTTTAACGGTACTACTACTTTTATACTGCTTATCGATCCGGTCCTTTAACGGTACTCTTATCGGTTCTTTTGGGGGAAAAGGAGGTAAACTAACTAAACAAATTGTGAACAAAACTAACATTGCTTTTTATTTAAATTAAATACATAATATTTCACATCAAAAGACAACAATCGTATTAAATAATCTGTAAACAGAATAGCTGAAACTTTAACAAACTAAATAACTCAGTTCCCTCTAATCATTAACTTGTGTTTGTATCATTGAGTTAGCTCCGTGTGTTGCTGCTAGCATACATAACACCTGACGTGGAAAGTTACTCGTGGATGGGGCTACAGAGCCACTAGAGAGACAGTCGAACCCGGTGCATTCCTCCGTCTGAACGTGGAGCACTTTTGATAAATGTTTAGACAAATTGCTCGTGTTACCGCCCCTGACATGCTCAACTCTAATTGCACTTTAGGTAACGAGCATTGTCCACATGGAGACGGGTAAAGTTTAACCACACCTCGGAGCGCGTTCTCTCCGCCATCTCCTCCGTGTGTGTGTGTGTGTTGCTGCATGTAGCAGCAGCTGTGTGTGTGTGTGTGTGTTGCATGTAGCAGCCGGGTGTGTGTGTTGCATGTAGCAGCCGGGTGTGTGTGTGTAGCATGTAGCAGCCGTGTGTGTGTGTGTGTGTTGCATGTAGCATGTAGCAGCCGTGTGTGTGTGTGTTGCATGTAGCATGTGGCAGCCATGTGTGTGTGTGTGGCATGTAGCATGTAGCAGCCGTGTGTGTGTAGCATGTAGCAGCCGTGTGTGTGTGTTGCATGTAGCAGCCGTGTGTGTGTGTGTGTGTTGCATGTAGCAGCCGTGTGTGTGTGTGTGGCATGTAGCATGTAGCAGCCGTGTGTAGCATGTAGCAGCCGTGTGTGTGTGTTGCATGTAGCAGCCGTGTGTGTGTGTGGCATGTAGCATGTAGCAGCCGTGTGTGTGTGTAGCATGTAGCAGCCGTGTGTGTGTGTTGCATGTAGCAGCTGGGTGTGTGTGTGTGTTGCATGTAGCAGCTGCGTGTGTGTTGCATGTAGCAGGCCAGTGTGTGTGTGTGTGTTGCATGTAGCATGTAGCAGGCCAGTGTGTGTGTGTGTTGCATGTAGCAGGCCAGTGTGTGTTGCATGTAGCAGCTGTGTGTGTGTAAACCGCCCCGCCCCCTCGCACACAGACGGGAGAGAGATCTCTCGTCTGGATTGGAAAGATCGAAAAATCATCACAGACGCATTTTGTAGTCTTATTGCGTATTAGAAACGGAGTTGGCGACACTAAGACTGCGATATAATGTTTATGTAGCAATAATACATAGACATACGTTTTAAATGTCTCCAGTACCGATAAAAAGACAGATAACGTTGGAGCTTAACTGCGCGTAAAACACACGTGATGACGTCACCAACAAATCGACGACTGAATTAGTTGGCAACTAATTTGGTAATCGATGAGTTGTTGCACCCCTCCTTAAGACTCCTGTCCTGTGGACTCTTTATACTCGGATGAAGTCGTCAGAAATCTGTTGTTGAATGTAGAAGAAACGCACTCCTCTCTTCCTCGTCTCTCTTTGAAGGCAGTGATACCGGCATCATCAGGGGATCAGTTTCCTCTCCTTCAGTCTGCTGTGGGGTCAGAGAGGATCCTTCCTTCCTCTCTGATCCTCAGAGGAACAAAAGGCTGGAGGATCCTCTGTCTGCTGACACCTGCGAGCTGCAGCTGCTCAGACACTGATAAAAGCAATGAGATGGAGCCGCTGTCTGTTGTCGGAGAGTCACGACTCCCTTCAATGATATCTGATCCTGAGCTTTTGTCCGACTGTAGACGTTTAGTCACAGGAAGTTGCAGATAGCGCTGGGCAACATACATGTGTGTTTTACGACCGCTGTATTCTGTATTTGTTGTAACGTTGTTCATGCTGCCCTCTTGGCCATGTCGCTCTTGAAAAATAGATTTGAATCTCAACTTGTACCTGGTTGAATAAAGGAGATAGAGATGTATGTGGTGGAAACTTCTGAAGCAATAGGAGTCAGGACTGTGAAGCTGCAAATTCATGTGACTGTTACTTACAATCGACAAAGTTAGCTGATAGTTTTCTGTGTGGCTAACGAGCAACGATCGACACACAACATTGATTTACATTACATTTCATTTAGCTTAAACGTGTATCCAATGTGACATCCAATTAATGCAATCACCCGATAAGATACAAACTCAAAAAGCAAGAATCCTGCAGGTTCCTTTCAATCAGCCAACCTTTATAAGTGTTACGTACAAAAGAGAGATGTTGTCTTATTGGCCGAAGTGCAGTGTAAACAGGATGGTTTTCAGTTTGTTATTGAAGACTATTAAACTATTATTAAACTATATTAAGACTATTAAACACCTGAGCTCTGTAAAGTTACTTGCACATCTTACAACATTCTCTTGCAAGAAACTGTTATAAAACATAACTGGCACAATTTTAAAACGACTTCAATTATGGGATATAAGAGCAATCACATCGACCAATGGATTCTTGTTCTCTGTCCTTTAAGATGGACATGGCGTGGGAAAGATGGTGTTTTGTAATTGTGAGGGAAACTTCTGAAGCAATAGGAAACAGGACTCAGAGAGACACGAGGAGAGCTGGAGCTTTGATGGAGTCAGGACTCGGAGAGACACGAGGAGAGCTGGAGCTTTGATGGAGTCAGGACTCGGAGAGACACGAGGAGAGCTGGAGCTTTGATGGAGTCAGGACTCGGAGAGACACGAGGAGAGCTGGAGCTTTGATGGAGTCAGGACTCAGAGAGACACGAGGAGAGCTGGAGCTTTGATGGAGTCAGGACTCAGAGAGACACGAGGAGAGCTGGAGCTTTGATGGAGTCAGGACTCAGAGAGACACGAGGAGAGCTGGAGCTTTGATGGAGTCAGGACTCAGAGAGACACGAGGAGAGCTGGAGCTTTGATGGAGACAGGACTCAGAGAGACACGAGGAGAGCTGGAGCTTTGATGGAGTCAGGACTCAGAGAGACACGAGGAGAGCTGGAGCTTTGATGGAGTCAGGACTCAGAGAGACACGAGGAGAGCTGGAGCTTTGATGGAGTCAGGACTCAGAGAGACACGAGGAGAGCTGGAGCTTTGATGGCAAACACTGACGGTTTATTTGGAGCTTCGGCCGGAGAATTCACAAGACATGTCACGGGCCACGAGTTGACCACACGGTTGAGATGCCACAATCAATTCTGAAGAACTCTACCCCAGACCCGTGTATTTAGATAGTTCAGAGAGAGTAATCAACATTGTGGATAACAAGATAGACTCATAACACCTCTATCAGCTGACGCCAGCAGACAGGAACAGGGAGACAGAACACTGAGAGCACAGCAGCCAAGGTTACAGGTGCGTGTGCTCAGTCAGGACAGAACTGATCAACTGGGTCACAGTTATGGGCCTTGGGAAATATTTCCCCAACAATATATATAAATACAAGTTTAATATATGGATATTGTGATATAGGATAGGGCTGTGCAATTAATCGTATTTTAATCGCAATTACGATTTTGGCCTGCCACAATTACGAAAACAACATAATCGAAAAAAACTATTATTTTGCTTTGCTAGGTTGTGACTGCACTGCAACATATTTGATCTAATGTATTTTGGTCTCATTTATTTGTATTTATCATATTTATATATGTTTAGTAGCTTGTGGAAGTGCGCTCCAAAATATGTGTTGATCTTGTTTATTGGTATTTATTATTTAGATATTATTTATTTAAATGTATCATTTATTTTATTTATTTTTGTATTGGTTTTTCAGTTGAATTATACGTTCAGGGAAATCAACAGTTAAAAAGATACTGTTCAAATTATTATTTGTATTTAAAAGTTCAATAAATGGATGTTTTCAAAGTCAATGAATAATCGTATTTAATAATCGTGATATCAATTATTGACCCAAATAATCGTGATTATGATTTTTGCCATAATCGCACAGCCCTAATTGAAAGTATTTTATTGACTTTAAAAATCATCGTATTTCTTCCGCTAAGAAAAAAAAAACTCCGCTCCACGGCGTATGAAC